AACAGTGATTTTTACTTATTTGGGAACCAGCTCTAGCTACCCACAGGAGAAAGCCAAAATCTTGTCTGTGTTCTATACTCTTTTGCTGCCAATACTAAATCTTCTGATATACAGTGTAAGGCACACAGAAGCCAAAGAAGCAATGAAAAGAATTATCAAGAGAAAAATATTTGCTCAGTGACTATGATTTTCATGCAGAAACTTTTAAAAATATTAGTTGATGCTACATATGGGTACATGATTAAATATGTGTGAGAATTTTGGAGAAAAGAAGGATGATATTTTAAATTAGCATATGCACAAAGATATTTTTCATTGGCGTTTGGAAATAGATGCCCATACGTTACATTACATTTTATGTGTGTGCATATACAAAGGAAGAAACTTTTTCTTTTACTTTCTCAGGTTTATTAATTAAAGGAATGTGGATTAAATTGACAAAAGGTAGATTAAATGGGAGAATAGATTAATGGGAGATTAGATTAATGGGAGAATAGATGAGGTTTATTCTTATGTATATAAAAGTACAGAAAAAATTTACTTGTTCAATAATTTGACAACAGAAGAAAGGGAGAGTGAGAAATGGCTTCTGTGAGAAAAACAAACGATCTTCTAAGGGAAGACACGGCAGATGAGAAATTCTGGGGCATCATTTGTGTATGATAGAGGCAGGTGGCCTTCTCAGTCTTTTCCTGGCAGACAGAGCAGCCCTAAAGAGAGGGGGTTTATGCAGCCTCACTCTCAGAAGTTCTGCCTTCAGTCAGATAAAGGAAGCTCTGAGAAGTCTCTCTAAGTTGAATCCAAAATGTCTCCAGTATGAAATAATTTCATGCCAGTGTACACTTTGGATTCCTTCAATTCCCAAATTATTATTTTGAATCTCTTCTAACTTCTTATGTAAGAAACTGACACCATCTTCTATAGGCTGTTTAGTTATAAAACATGATTTTCAATTTTTATTGAATAATAATGAACCAGTAGATCGTAATCACACAAACACCCACACATACATGCTTCTATACAAAGCACCCCCCCCCCAAAAAAAAATCAGTTACAGAGAGTGGTTTCAATTTTCCTTCTTTTTTAAACTCTAGAAGAACTAATCCATTTTATAGTTGAGGAAACAAAGAGTTAAAAGCTTGACCAAGATTTAAAAAAATCAAGATTTCAGAGGTAGAATTCAAGTACACATATGTTCAAATATTAGTAGATAGTCCTCCTACCATTTTACATAAACAAATAGAATTTCCTACATGTATTTTGTAATTCCACATCGACCTACAGAAGAAACTAACACAACATTGTAAATAGATTATACTCCAATAAAAAATGTAAAAAATGTATAAAAATAAACAACAAAAAATCGTAATGAGTGTGAAAGTCAAACAGTAGAGGAAACAGTTCAATCAATGTGGATGTATGGTTGTAATAGATTATTATGAAGCATTTATATTAAGGACAGGAGATAGATACTGATTGACTGTGTGCTTAGTCGCTCAGTCACGTCTGACTCTTTGCGACCCAGGGGACTGTAGACCGCCATACCCCTCTGTCCTTGGGGATTCTCCAGGCATGAATACTGGAGCAGGTTGCCATGCCCTCCTCCAGGGGACCTTCCCAACCCAGGGATGAAACTCACGTTGCCCACATTGCAGGCAGATTCGTTACCATCTGGGTCACCAGGGAACTGACTGAATATATCAACAGCCACTCAGGTATTGATTGAGTACCTGGTAAAATCTCAATATCATGCAGTGCATTTTACATATTTAATTTAATTTTCACAAACATGTAAGGTGGGTGCTACTATTGTCACTTTGCAGACAAGGAACTGTGAATCAAAGTGGTAAGAAACGCCTACATGGCCATAAAGTGAGCAAATGGTTTTTCTGAACACAAACTCAGAATTATGTTTCCCAGTTCTAAACATTTTCAACTAAAGCATAGAGTCTTCATTTATAAAATTATGATCAGAAGGACTTGAAAACTTAGAACATTAAACATTTGTTATATATTCTTAAGGAAAAAATATAAATGCACACATGAAAATGAAATGCAAAGGAAAATAAAATATCCTGGATTCCAAACGTCCAACTCTCATAAAAGATAACAGGTGTCCTTGGAAAAGTGGTTGTTTTCCCAGGAAAATATAAAATAAACATGGAGTACCTTGTGCTGCCAGGGTAAAAGAAGTAAAAATAAAGAGAAAATGACAAACATGTACAAATAATCATGCACACAGGAACAATGATGCTTCCACTAACAAAGCTAGAACAATTTGAACAACAAAATAAGTGATGACAGTGTTAGATAATAACCTCAAAGGACAAAACACTTATAAACAAGTACATACTGGTATAAATAAATGCATAAGAATAACTCTCCCTTAGAGGATATTTTCCATTAAAATATGTTGAAAGAATATGGGAAATGGAAATTTACTGTGAAAGCACAACCATGATAATCAGCAGATGTAGCTTATTGATGGATTCCAAAAAGTATAAATGAAATAACTTTACATAGTCTGTTTTTTACATATATATGAATCTATATAAAATACATAGTAAATTATATTAATTTAAGTAAGAATGTTACTATTGCATATATATATAATTGCATATAAATATTAATTTATGTAAATTACAGAGGAAGGAATCATATTTTTACAGTAAAGCATTCGGGCAGACTCTACCTTAACTACGTAACCAAGTTTAATATTACTAGAAATATTTATCAATGTAATGTATCCTCTGATAATGTGAACAAGGCATGTATATGGGCCTTTGGTACTTTTTCCCATAATGAATAATTTCAAGTTAGTCATTAGAAAAAAACAGGCTAACATAAATTGAGAGACATTCTTCAAAATACTTGACCAATTTCTTTAAAAAGAATCAAGGTCATGAACAAAAAGCAAAGAAAAGGAGGCAATCACTATCAGAAAACTAAAGAGATAAGACATTAACTGTGTTGCCAAAAAATAAAAAAACCAAAACCAGCCTCTCTGCTAATATCAAGAAGAAATATGGTGACAGAGTTTTGGAGGAGTAGAAAGGAGTAGCTATATTACTTTGCCTGTCAAAGGGGAACCACAGCAAACTAAAGCTTCCAGAACTGCACCCCCTTCCTCAGAAGTTGGAAGAGGTCTTATAGTTGCAGGATGGAAAGTGGGGCTAAAGATAAGGATCAGGGTTGATGTGGTCTTGCATTCTTCTCCTTTTCCTGGAGGCAACAAGATCTTTAGGGTGATTCCAGGATCTCAGGTGATTCCAGGACAGGTTCTGATGTTTCTTGAGGTCATCATCCTGTGATACTCTTTCTGGAATGAGGAATGCCCCCAGAGGAAAGGAAGGTTAGAGAGTGCTGTCTTGGAGGGGTATAGTTAGAGGGTAAACATTTTCAGAGTGCAATTAAGCAAGAAAGAAAGGAAGATAAACATCTGTAGGTTAAATGGGTGGAGAGGACAAAAGCTGAATAAAGGCTAACATAATGGGGTGCCTCCATTAGTGTCTGCTAGAGCAAGTGCAGCATGCTATTCTGACTCGGATCTTGGAACAGGAAAAAAGAAATTAGTGTAAACACTGGTAAAATTAAGTAAACTCTTTATTTCTTCTTTATGCTAATAATTATGCTATAATCATGTAAGCTGTTAGCTTTCCTGAGCAAGGTAAGGTGCATCTGTAAGTCTACAAATATCTAATAAAAAGTTAAAAATATAGCTGATTGACAGCCAGAATCCAAACTGGGTTTATTTTCTTGCTATAGTTGTGCTAAATCATATCTGACTCTTTGCAACCCCATGGACTGCAGCATGCCAAAGCTCCTGTCATTCACTATTGCTCAAATTCATGTCCATTGAGACAGGAATGCTATCTAACCATCTCATCCTCTGCCACCCACTTCTCCTGTTGCCTTCAGTCTTTCCCAGCATCAGGGTCTTTTCTAATGAGTCAGCTCCTCACATCAGGTGGTCAAAGTTTGGAGCTTCAGCATCAGTCCTTCCAATGAATACTCAGGGTTGATTTCCTTTAGGATTGACTGGTTTGATCTCCTTGCAGTCCAAGGGACTCTTTTAAGAGTCTTCTCCAACACCACAATTTGAAAGCATCAATTATTTAGCACTCAGCCTTCTTTGTGGGCTAACTCTCACATGGTGTAACTCATGTTCTAACTCTTAGTCCCTACATGGCTAATGGAAAAGCCACAGCTTTGATGTTATGGATCTTTGTCAGCAAGTGATGTCTCTGCTTTCTAATACACTGTCTAGGTTTGTCACAGCTTTTCTTCCAAGGAGCAAGCGTTTTTCAGTTTCATAGCTGCAGTCACTGCCTGCAGTGATTTTGGAGCCCAAGAAAATAAAATCTGTCAATGCTTCCACTTTTCCCCCTATATTTTCCATGAAGTGGTGGGACTAGATGTCATGTTCTTCATTTTATTTGTTTGTTTGTTTTAATGTTGAGTTTCAAGCCAACTTTTTCACTCTCTTATAAATGGGTTTATAAGAAATATAAACTTAATTGAGCAAGCATTTATTACATGGTAAAGAACTTTCTTGCTGAGGTAGAAGACATGAGCCATGGGTTCCATCCTGGGTTGGGAAGATCCCCTGGAGGAGGGCACAGGAACCAACTCCAGTATTCTTGCCTGGAGAATCCCCATGGACAGAGGAGCCTGGTGAGATGCAGTCTATAGGGTTGCAAAGGTTTGGTCATGACTGAAGTGACTTAGCATGCTCGCACATGTTCACCCTATAGCTTGGTCCAACAAAGTCCCTAAACCATTTATACAATGGTAACCACAATATCTTTAGCTCATCAAATGTCAGAATGTTGAAAAACTGAGACAAATTTTGAATTTTGAAGGAGGCAACCAACTCTAAGGGATGCAAAAGTGAGATGATTTTATTCTCATCTTTGTATTCCTACATAAAGCACAATATCTGTTATTTAATAGTTGCTCAATAAAAATATGTTGAAAAAAGTAAGATAATGGATGGAAATTTGATATTTACAGCCCAATTTTTTGAAAGTTTAGGTTTTTCAGGACACATACTAGAGTGGGGGGAATATAGTACAATTTCTTTCTTCCTAATATCTTAATATGCTGACCACCTTTAACTGATACGGTCCATGTATAATAGATTTTATTTCTCTTTTTAAATCTCTAGTGTAACAAGTAGAATTAGAGATTCATTTTTTTTTTCTTCCCCAGTGAAAAATCTGTCATGTTTCATCATTGTAATACTAAATCCCTTCTAAAGGTAAGTAAAAAAATAAAATATTATGATACCAATTGAAAAGTAACTCAATTAGGCAAATCTGTGAGATCCTTCTAAGCTAGTATTTGGAAAGAATCCATGGACCTGAGACACTTTAAAATTTTTGCTTTTCTCATGCATCCAACCTGGGCTGGTGATCTGTTTCACCATAGATAATATACATGTTTCGGTGCTATTCTCTCGAAACATCCCACCCTCGCCTTCTCCCACAGAGTCCAAAAGTCTGTTCTGTACATCTNTATATTTCATATTTTAGAAAAGCTGTTATATATATTTTATATAATATGAATAATATAAAATATATATAACAATTTAATAACAGAAAATATAAAATGTATATAATAAAAACAAATGCAATGTTTAATAATTTAAATGTATAATATAAAATAAATATAATTTTGAAAACTGTATTAAATTGCATTTTTCAGTATGCCTATGGACATTTAAACAAATACACACAAATAAGGACTATTTGTTTCCAAACATTTTCACTGCAGATGCATCCCATACAAATTAAAAATAAACCTTGGGGTACAATTAAAATACAAATCTCAAGAGATAAAAGGTGCTAATTGACCAGTTCCTTTATGATATATATTTGTGAATTTAAAAAGAAATTTTGGTATAAAAAGACAGTTTAAGACTAGATTTTTGAAGATAATTCTTTGTCATGAGACTGTTTTATAAAAACCCTGAGAACAAAAATAATTCTGAATAAAATCTAAATTTGAACTAAAAAATAGATTTGAATTCTTGAGAAAGTACATGCAAATAAACAATCACTCTGCTAATTTGGCTCTTATTTCATCCTGCCATTGGAAGGTGATATATGTATTTTCCATAATTGTCATCAAAACCACCACCATTTTCCCCACCAATTCCTAATATCATAAAGGGTCCATTATATTAGAAATAGAGCTCTGTGATAACAAACACAGCAGCAGCAAAAACAGCAACAGATCCAAGTTATCTTACTTGGAATTCATACAGTTCAGAATTATAGTGAGGCAAATATAGTTATGTGCCAAAAATTATGATGAATTTTGCAAGTATTAAGTAATGTTTTGTCTTCCTATTGTCTGATCATAAACCTGAAAAAGGTGAAAGTGTCCTGAATGAAAAGAGAGTTTCCTTTTGATGACTAAATCCCAGGTAAGTCTAATTTTACCATCCTCTTCTTTTAATTATTGTGTCGTTATGTGTGATTCTCACATTGACACAATTTTTATTTTTATACACCTGCGCCTTCCAGTATGCTTTAAGAAAAGCGCCTTTAATGACAGCCACGACAAAATGTCTTCATTGACTAAATGCTAAATAAAGGAATGAATGGATAAATAAATAGGAGCACTGTGAACGTGAGAGATACTAAGAGATTAGGTGTACTTTATATAACATAAGATTCCTTTGGGCTACTCAAGCAGAGTGCTGTAAGTCTGAAATAAACCACATTAATATCATACCAGTTTCAGTTTTACTTATTTATCACATGCTTATGTCAATATAACTAGGAAAATAAGTTCTTTAATTTTTAGTGAAATCACTTTATATTTTAATTTTCTGTTTTAAATTTAATAAATCATATTCTTTTACCATTTGTAGGCTTCTTCGCATCACATTATTGAGTTGAATCCTGCTATTGGCAATGAATTAGTTATTGCCTGATGTTGTAGATAACCAAGTGCTTCATGCTGGCAATAAACCTGGTTCTAACCAGAGAAACAAAACAATTTGGCTGCATCATAGACTATGTTCCCCATTTAGAAATGTTCACTGATAGAAAGAAAGGGTATGTGATAGAAAAAAAAAAGTAGAGAGGATTTTAGCATTAACATATAAAATAAACACGGAGAAGGCAATGGAGAGGGAAATGGCAACCTACTCCAGTATTCTTTCCTGGAGAATCCCAGGGACGGGGTAGCCTGTGGGCTGCCATCTAGGGGGTCACACGGAGTCGGACATGACTGAAGCAACTTAGCAGCAGCATAAAATAAACAAGATGTTTGTTTCCTTTTATATTAACATATAAGCCCCCTACATATGAATGAGTTCTATTCCTAGAGCACATTGGTAAGTCCAATTTGTTCATTAAGTCCAACAAATTTAGCCTAGGTATCCAGATAACACAGTCAGCTATACAATTTTTTCCTGTAGTCGGTTTATAATAATTTTTGCACAGCTAATGCATAAAAAACAAACACAAAAGAGGAAGGAAACTTTTAAATCTTACAGTACAGTACTTTGAAAAGTGCAGTACTGCAGAACAACAGCTGGCATACAGGGGCTGGCACTGAGTGGGCAGGCAAGAAAAGTTACCGAGTGCAGAGCAGAGAGGAGCTAGGAGATGGCAGAGCTGAAAATCCACAGCGATANAAAGAGAGAGAGAGAGAGAGAGTGTGTGTGTGCGTGTTAGTCACTCAGTCGTGTCCAAATCTTTGTGACCCATGGACTCTATCTCACCAGGGTCCTCTGTCCATGGGATTCTCCAGGCAAGAATGCTGGAGTGAGTTGCCATGCCCTTCTCCATTTTATATATATATATACATTATATATAATGTCTCACTATATGTAAATATATGCATACGTTTATATATACAATTTTGTAAAATATATATTTTATAAATTATATACATATATATTTGCAAAATTTAGCAAGTTTTATTGACTCCAAGGAACTATTAGATATGCCCATAGAAGATCACATCAAGCACCTAAAACAACCCTGTAAAGTACTTATTGGCTGTTGAAATCTTATGACTGCCACATAAGGTAGCATTACATATCAAAATTTAAATTTCCAGCTGAGTTTCATGTTTTCTAAGAATAATATATAATCAATTACAGTACGTAAGTTTCTAAACATATGAACTAGGTCCCAGTAATAGACAAGGGAAGAGGATGGTTTATCTGTAGAGAAATTTCTCTACAAAGCAATCCAGATAGATTTGGGGTTTTTTTAGAGTGCAATCAATTCCAATGAATGTGAACTTAGAATTTTGATTATTGTTTGTTAGTTCTATTTTTTAAAAAATTAAAATCATGCACAAATTCTCAATTAACTTGAAGTCATTTAATATTTGCTTCCCATCTGTTACTCTCTCATTATGGGAGTCTAGGTTAGTGCCGCTTATCATTCCTTTGGACTTGAATTTCTTCTAATTTTTCCTATCATTTTTCAGCAGAGAAGTCAAGGATCTGAGTGGACAGAAATGGCTGGGAACAACTTCACGGAGGTGACATTCTTCATCCTCTCTGGATTTGCAAATCACCCTGAACTACAAATCAGCCTCTTCTTGATGTTTCTTTTTATTTATCTCTTCACTGTTTTGGGGAACCTTGGACTAATTCTGTTAATCAGAATCGACTCTCAGCTCCACACACCTATGTACTTTTTCCTTAGCAATTTAGCATCCATTGATGTATTTTATTCCACTACTGTAACACCCAAGGCACTGGTAAATCTCCAGTCAATCCGGAAAACCATCTCCTTTGTTGGCTGCTTTGTTCAGATGTACTTTTTTGTGGGTTTAGTGTGTAGTGAGTGCTTTCTTCTGGGGTCCATGGCCTATGACCGCTATGTAGCTATCTGCAATCCCTTACTGTATTCTGTGGTCATGTCCCAGAAGGTGTGCAGGGGCTTGGGAGTCATGCCTTATATGATCGGCTTCACCAATTCTCTGGTCTCCATCTGTGTGATCAGCAGATTGGCATTCTGTGATGTCAGCATCAATCATTTTTTCTGTGACACCACAGCTCTTCTGGCCCTGTCCTGCGTGGATGCATTCAACACAGAAATGGTGATCTTTGTTTTAGCTGGCTTCACCCTTCTTAGCTCTCTCTTCATCATCACAGTCACCTACATGGCCATCATCTCAGCCATCCTGCAGATCCGGTCTGCAGCAGGCAGACAGAAAGCCTTTTCAACCTGTGTGTCCCACATCATGGGGGTGACCATCTTCTATGGGTCCCTGATTTTCACAGTTACCGAGTGCAGAGCAGAGAGGAGCTAGGAGATGGCAGAGCTGAAAATCCACAGCGATAGTAACAGGGCAAGCTGCGATGTCACTCAGGCCTGACGCCGATGCACAGGTTTTTGTTCCTTGCCGGATTCAGTTCTATCAATGAATGCCCTCTTGAAAAATCGATGCAGAGATGTCGGAGTAGTAGCTCTTTTATTCTTCTCCTAGAGACAGGCTAGCAACGGGTTGCATTCTGAACGTCTGCTGCAGCTTTCGTGCACCATTCTACATTCTACATTGAAGAGGATGGTTTATCTGTAGAGAAATTTCTCTACAAAGCAATCCAGATAGATTTGGGTGTTTTTTAGAGTGCAATCAATTCCAATGAATGTGAACTTAGAATTTTGATTATTGTTTGTTAGTTCTATTTTTTAAAAAATTAAAATCATGCACAAATTCTCAATTAACTTGAAGTCATTTAATATTTGCTTCCCATCTGTTACTCTCTCATTATGGGAGTCTAGGTTAGTGCCGCTTATCATTCCTTTGGACTTGAATTTCTTCTAATTTTTCCTATCATTTTTCAGCAGAGAAGTCAAGGATCTGAGTGGACAGAAATGGCTGGGAACAACTTCACGGAGGTGACATTCTTCATCCTCTCTGGATTTGCAAATCACCCTGAACTACAAATCAGCCTCTTCTTGATGTTTCTTTTTATTTATCTCTTCACTGTTTTGGGGAACCTTGGACTAATTCTGTTAATCAGAATCGACTCTCAGCTCCACACACCTATGTACTTTTTCCTTAGCAATTTAGCATCCATTGATGTATTTTATTCCACTACTGTAACACCCAAGGCACTGGTAAATCTCCAGTCAATCCGGAAAACCATCTCCTTTGTTGGCTGCTTTGTTCAGATGTACTTTTTTGTGGGTTTAGTGTGTAGTGAGTGCTTTCTTCTGGGGTCCATGGCCTATGACCGCTATGTAGCTATCTGCAATCCCTTACTGTATTCTGTGGTCATGTCCCAGAAGGTGTGCAGGGGCTTGGGAGTCATGCCTTATATGATCGGCTTCACCAATTCTCTGGTCTCCATCTGTGTGATCAGCAGATTGGCATTCTGTGATGTCAGCATCAATCATTTTTTCTGTGACACCACAGCTCTTCTGGCCCTGTCCTGCGTGGATGCATTCAACACAGAAATGGTGATCTTTGTTTTAGCTGGCTTCACCCTTCTTAGCTCTCTCTTCATCATCACAGTCACCTACATGGCCATCATCTCAGCCATCCTGCAGATCCGGTCTGCAGCAGGCAGACAGAAAGCCTTTTCAACCTGTGTGTCCCACATCATGGGGGTGACCATCTTCTATGGGTCCCTGATTTTCACTTATCTGCAGCCTGAGAACACATCCTCCTTGACCCAGGCACAGGTGGCATCTGTATTCTACACCATTGTTATTCCCATGCTGAATCCGCTTATCTATAGTTTGAGGAACAAAGATGTAAAAAATGCTCTTCTGAAAGCATTTCAAAAACTGTTTCCATGACAAATCTGTGCATGTTGCAATTAAAGCAAACCTGGAGTGTTTCAGGCATTCAATGGCTCAAAAATTTCGGAACTAGTGGAGTAACCCCCAAAAGAATAAGACAAAATAAATGGTAACAGAGTCATGAAATGCAGGAGGTGAATTATCATTTTATTTGTTGATATGGAATACTGGATCATCATGTAAGGGGTTCATTTCAGTACATAAATTATTCAGACTTAGACATGCCCAGATTTGTAAAACATCTGAATGGTGACTAAATCCCACCCTGATGTGATTATGCCATCACACTACAAAATGTTGAAATACTATTAAATTGATTTTTCATAAGTTTTGACATGCTGGTTTCTCCACTATCAACAAGTTGAGAGTAGAAAATTGGTAGATTAAGAAATTAACAAAGATCAAACACAAAGAACAAATATTAAAAGCACCAAGGGAGAAACAACAAATAACACACAAAGAGATTCCCATAAGGATAACAGCTGATCTATCAATAGCAACCCTTCAGGCCAGAAGGGAATGGCAGGACATACTTAGAGTAATCAAAGAGAATAACCTAAAACCTAGATTACTGTACCCAGCAAGGATCTCATTCAGATATGAAGGAGAACTCAAAAGCTTTACAGACAAGCAAAAGCTGAGAGAATTCACCACCACCAAACCAGCTCTTCAACAAATACTAAAGGATCTTCTCTAGACAGGAAANTTTAGCAGCACTATCTTTTGAGGAATACAGTTGATGGCATCAAATGTATAACACATAAAAATGTAGCTTCTTTATCAATACCAACAAATTATTACCTGAAATTCTGGATGTATAGGCAAACTTCCCTGTAAGATTCACTTTTAAATCTACAGAAACATTGATTTCATTATCATGAATCAGCAGAAAATTTATAATAATATTGTAATCTACCTAGATATTTAGTCTACCCCCTTTTAGAGTCTTCTTCATCTTGGACAAACAATCCTCAATGAAATATTTAATATTTGATGAACATTTCTGGAGGGGCAGAAATTACTTTGCTGACAAAGGATCATACAGTCAAAGCTATGTTTTTTCCAGTAGTCATGGAAAAAAGTAGTAGATGCTTTTCCCAGTAGTAATAGTTTTTTCTAGTAGTATGAATGTGAGAGTTGGACCTTAGAGAAGGCCAAAAACCAAATAATTGATGCTTTTGAACTTGGTGTTGAAGAAGACTCTTAAGAGTCCCTTGGACTGCAAGGAGATCAAACCAGTCAATCTTAAAGGAAATAATTCCTAAATATTCATTGGAAGGACTGATGCTGAAGCTGAAGCTCCAATACTTTGGCCACCTGATGTGAAAAGCCTACTCATTAGAAAAGACCCTGATGCTGGGAAACATTGAAGGCAGGAGGAGAAGGGGACAACAGAAGATGAGATGGTTGGATGGCATCATCAACTCAGTGGACTTGAGTTTGAGCAAACTCCAGACGATGGTGAAGGATAGGGAAGCCTGGCATGCTACAGCCCTTGGGGTCACAAAGAGTTGATATGATTCAGTGACTGAACTGAACTCTGGAGGAAAGTTGGTCAAAGGGTATCAGTCAATGCATAAGGCATTTAATTATGGGATTTATGAAAGGCTAGTATAAAATTGGTCACATTATATTGTGAAATTTTAGTTATAAAATGCAGATGGATACTAACTATATAGTATGATAAGTATGCAAATATAGCAGAATACAATTAAGCATTCAATGAACAAAAACAGCTCAGACATTCACCAAAATTTGAGTTTGATTATTTTCATATCATTTTTGAATTTTGTTATGTGTTCATTTTATTTTTGTACATGCTATATTTTAGTATATGATGGTTATCTATAGAAATCATTTTTTATCACAAAACACACACGTGCATAGAACACAAGGGAATTTTTTGGAGATGATGGCTATGTTTAGAACCTTGAATGTGGTGATGGCATTTGGCTATGTGCAGATGTCCAAATTCATTAATCAGTATATAGTAAATGTGTATAAATCTTCCTTCATCAATGACGCTTCAGTAAAGCTTAAAAAAATCAGTTCTGATTACTTCTAAAAAATTTTCTTTTTCATATTTGGAGATTTCATTTTGTATCTAATGGCCATATTTACTCTTAGCATAGTGTCACACATATATTTAAATATAAAATTTCATTGTAAAAAATGTATCTTTGCATTCCTGATGGTTACAATCATAGATTAATCATTTCTCTAGAAATAATTACTCTACTACCACTGGAATAAATTTAGAACATTACAAAGGAAAACTAAAGCATTGGGCTCTTCATTGTGTGGCTCCTAAGGGAAAATGCAACCAACTTTTCAAAGCTTAGCAAAGCTGCATTTAGTCCTTGAACTCTTGTCCTTGGAGACATGTAAAGCAATCTTTGATGGAAATTGGTCCATAGGGATGACCAAATGTTGCATAATCACCAATTCCCAGTATATGAGGTTCCCTGGAGTTACCAGAATGAGAGGCAAGGTGTATTCTACTCTGTATTCATACACAGTTAGACCCCTGATACTCTTTTTAGACACAACTTCCTGACAAATTTTACATTTGGACAGCAGTTTACAAAATTTCTACTTTGATTTACTTTTCCCACAGAATAAAAAAAAGAACTAAATTTAAAAAAAAACTTATCAAAAAATATTATGTTACAGAAATTTTCAGCTGAAATGGTCTCTATATTTTATGAAATGGTCTCTATATTTTATTTGTGAGGGAAACTTTGTCATACTTCTAGTCAGATAATATTGGAATAGTTGTTTTTCTACCAACTCTGGCTGCTGGTAAGTATTATTCTGAAAATCAGAAAATTTTAGTTAGGTTCAGATAAAACAAGGACATTAGAGAAGCATGCATGCAGATATCATTTAACCTTACCCTAGGTACTCCCAGGACTTGTGGAAGATAACATTGATGTAATCAGGGTCTGCAAGAAATGTGTATATTTCAGAAATATAATTTTTTTGTAGAAATTTGATTTTGAATGTCAAGTTATGAAAACTCATATTTTTTGGAAATTAATGCTAATATGTGATTTACCGTTTTAATACACCCTACTGAATTCCAAAGGTCAGATTTATATTTTATTAGTATTAAATAATATTGGAAAAAAGAATTGTGCATGATGTATTGAAACAATTCTTTCATCATTATTTTATATCTAGCAACTTTTTTTCATGGTTGCTGAAATGAATTATGAATAGCAATTAGTATTATGGGCATACACTATGTGATCAATCTATCTTCATAGAATTACTGAGACAACATGTACTAGCTCTGACTGTTGGTAAATTACCTAAATTATCTATGTACTTTTTTTATCTAAAAATGTGACTAATATTAATATCTATGGTATAATTTTCTCAATGGGATTAAAAGCTTTAATAAAATGAAATGTTTAGAACACTACAAGGCTATTTCTAATTTTCCAATACAGTAGCTTTTAATATACTACATCTAAATGTCAAGTTATACACATTTCTATATTTAGAAATCAAGAAAAGATTTTTCTCTTCATACTTGAGACACCCCTCAATATTATCCCTTTTCAGAAAAAGCTAATATAAATATGCTTTGTTGTTCATAGAAACACAAATCTTTTTTGCAGTGATTCCTGGTAAGAACCAACTTTGATTGCTCAACAGTTTGAAGCACTTGAACACTATGGGCAGAAGGACTATCACTCATGTGTCTGACCTCATCCTCATGGGACTGACAGACTCTGAAGACATCCGGCTGGTCCTCTTCACCCTCTTTCTCCTCATATACCTGATCACTGTGCTGGGGAATGTGGTGATGATCCTGATAATCTGCCCGGACTCCCAGCTTCACAGCCCCATGTATTTTTTCCTCAGTCACCTGTCATTTCTTGACCTCAGTTTCTCAACTGCCATCACCCCTAAAACTTTAGACAACTTACTGACTTCCAACAAGCATAGCATATTTCATACCTGAATTGCCTAATCCAGATGAATTGTTTTGTCTTTGTGGGTGTCACTGAATGTGTTCTTCTCTCCTCCATGGCCTATGATCGCTATGCAGCCATCTGCAACCCTCTGCATTACCCCATCGTTATGTCCACCAGACGCTGTTGCTCTCTTGTCTTTGGATCCATCTTGACTGGCTTCATGGACACCTCTGTCAATGTGCTTTGCTTGAGCAAATTGCATTTCTGTGACTCTAGTGTAATCTATCACTTTTTCTGTGATGCACCCCCAGTTTTAGTGCTGTCCTGCACTGACACACATGATATTGAAATCACAGTATCCATTTTTGCTGGCTCCACCCTCGTGGTGTCTCTTATCACAATAGCTGTGTCCTATGCGTCCGTCCTGTCCACTATCCTGAAAATTACTTCCACTTCAGGGAAGCAGAAAGCCTTCTCTACCTGTGCCTCCCATCTCCTGCCAGTCACCATCTTTTATGGCACTACAATTTTTACTTACGTAAAACCAAGTAAGTCCTACTCTTTGGGACAGGATCAAGTAGTTTCTGTTTTTTATAGTATTGTCATCCCCATGCTGAATCCACTTACATACAGTCTTCGAAATAAAGAAGTAAAAAATGCTCTCAGCAGAGTCTTACAGAAGAGAAAGAACTTCAAAAAATTAAAGTAACATTGATCCTGAACTTTTAAGCTCCTCTGTTTGCGATTTTTTCTTTTTGTCCCTATAGTGTATTTCCTTGCTCTTTCTCCAAAAACACATTGAACTATTTATTTATTTATTTATTCTATTGATCCATCTTTTGCTTGAATAAATACAATCTCAGGCCTTTCTAAGAATACAACTTAAGAAATCTACACTGTAATTGGCAACCATGAAACATGTTTAAACCATGGTCTCAATATCAATGTTTTTAAGGGCAACTTATTTGCAAAATGAAAAGTATAGTTGTCAGTTTTTGAAGGGTGCTGTACAAATCCCCATGCGTAATAAAACTTTAGAGAATTTTATGATTGAAAAGAGTTCCATTTGGAAAAAATGAACAGTTTCAGAAATCATTTCTGAACAGTTTCTGAACAGTTTCAGAAATCATTTCCTTTACTTGGTGGAGAAGCAAGAGAGCAGAGTGAATATGAGTACTTCATTGAGAACCAAATGTTCAAGGATTTAGATTTCAAACCTTCTACACAATTACCTGTAGAATGCTTTAAAAAAAAATCACTGAAACTTTAAGTTTCAAGTTCCTAAACTTCACAGATAAACAACAATTCCAGGTCAAAA